ACATACTGACAGTGACACAGTGCATGGATCCCTCTGAAAGATGACCAGTGCAGCTTGCAAGGAATCATTAAGGAAATAACCGTTTTGTTGCTGTTTTGGAGCAACACCATGCAATTCTTGCTAAAAATCACTCTCTGTGGCCCATTCAGCAACTCTCATTTCTGATTAAGCTTTCCAGCCTGTAGGTATCTTCTCGTAGATCTGTCTTAGCATTTCCTTTTAGAAGGATTTAATTTAGGAATCCATTGTGCCTAGCCCTGCACAGACCAAGCCAATTTATTTCACATAACGCTTGAGCACCATGCACTTTGAAGAAACAAACTTGTTTTAATTCCTTTCGGGAGGGGAAGGATGGACATGTGCTTCAGGTGTTGGCTTGAGATTCAGGAGAAATGGATCCTCTTCTGACAGTATCCACAGATTTCCTGAGACCTTTGTCAAATCACTTACTCTGCCTTGAACCTAACTTCTCTCTCTGGAAAATAATCAACAGAACAACACTCCCTACCTCTTCTGTTAGGGAAATAAACATAGTATTTAGGATGCATCAGAGTCCCTGTGTTCTGTGCTTTACAAACAGAATGAAAAGGTGATCTTTGCCCTGGAGGGATGTCACTGCTTAAGTGCGATATAGAGACAGCAGGTGGGTGCAAGTCTGCTGAGAAGCAATGAAACAAGGCAGAGCTGACTGGCAAACAGACCCTGGGCATTTCCCGCCAGCTGCCTAGCTGCTGTCAACATTTCCATAGGCATCTAGTCAGGGAGGGATGTGAAGGAAGCGAACGAATCACTCTGTGGGTGTTCACAGGAAGCTACCCCCAAGCATGAAGGAGAAGCACGGGACAACGCACGGAGGTGGCGGCTGGAGAATCCAGGCGGGTGATCTTCCCAGCAAGCCTGGTGGACGGGAGACTCCGTGATATGCCTGAAGGGAGCACAAACACCTCCCCTCTCCTCAGCAGAGAGCTCAGCTGGCAAAAGTTGATCTTTTCATTCACTTGGGGGTTTATGTTTATTCTCTAAGTGCCTCTGGGCCTTGCTTATCATATCTGTTCTCCTTTTCTTTGTCACTGTCAGAGCAAAGTGTGAGTTTGAGAACTCACCCCAAGTTATGCAGAAGGGATCCTGGTGCCAGCCCTTCACAGACCCCACTGGCGCCAGGAAATCTAAAGGCAGGTGCTCTCCATGCACAGGGGCCATGAGCATGGGTGAAAGTTCCAGTGGCCACGTGCCCTCCAGTGCTCTCATCGCCATCAGTCAAGCTCTTCCCCACAAAGCAGTAACAGAGGAAGCTCAAGAAGTATCGCTTTTTAATTTCGGTGCTGCCACAGTCACTGACGTCCTCACTAATCCTCTTGCGGCAGCAGGCTGCTAATCAAAAACTCTTTGCTCGCCGCTTTGGCATCATTCTGGAAAGCCAACAGAGCTCAGAGATGCTCAGTTCCTCCCCCTCCACACACCTTCCATTGTCTTCAGGACTGACAGCTCTGATGTGGAGCAGTGATAAAAGCTAGCTGATGCTGTCAGGGCCTGGTACAATTGCACCGCAGGGAAAAAGGCGACTGGCTCTGACTCATCCTAGCCGCCTGGAGCTCAGGATGCCTTGCACACATTCAGTCTCCTGGTATGGCTCAGCACACAAGAATGCACATGCGGTGGTCTCTGGCTACTGCCCTGCAAGGCAGGAGTCGATGGTGGGTCTTTGAAACAGCTAGCAGTGGTGTCCAAATGAGAGCTTCTAGAATGAGTGGCCAGCCATCCTTTGAGATGCTAGAAGAACCCACAGGAAAAAGAAAAGACTCATTTGCAGATCTCTGCCATAGTCTTTGATGTGAATGGGGGAACTGGCAGCCAGAGGAGTAAAGGTAGTTGGTTGGCTGTTCCTTGAGCTGTGTTCAGGGGCCTCTGCAACTTCTGGGTGGTAACACTGGGACAATAGCACCCATCCTTCATCACCTCACGTATAAGGGACTGAGCTGAATCTGGGTTGAAGTTCTGGGGTGCTCCAAAATGAGGGATCCGGACTTGAAAAGCTTCAGGAGAGCCAAGCTCCTGAACAGGAACAGGAATGGGAGGAGGTTCAAAGAAGGGAAGTTGGACTGTCATGTGAACTTCAGGGTGACCTTGAGGAAACTGGCCAAATGCTGCCCATCCTGGCCAGGTCATCAGCTGAAATTTGCATTATTGAAGGTAGAAACTCAAGGGTCATTTCTATTTAATTTTTTACTTTGTCCCCAGTATGACATTTGAAGGAGAGGCATTAGGAGTTCCTCCTATAAATAAGCTCACCCCTGTCACAGCTGGTTATATCAAACTCCATGTCCAGCCCGTAAACAAGGTGCCTCTTAGATCTGCTGCATGGAGGGTGCATAGCAGTGTCCAAGGAAGTTTGAGGGTTCTGTGTTTCACTAGTTGGTGTTGGGACACCAGCTCTTTTCAAGGCAACAAACATAATCATCTCCAGCTCCCATTTGGAGGAGTTGGGGAGCAGTGCAGGACAGATGCAATGTAGTCAAGGATCACTGCCATATGTTGCAGCAAAGGCAAAGCATCCCTGGGATGTTGTGAGAAGAGGCAGTCAAGGCATGAAGTGTGCATATTCTGGGACCTCCAGGGCACCTGTCACAACAGGAGTTAAATGCTATGATTTTATCTGTTCCCTCAAATTCTTTTTCCAGTTCTGCCCTAGAGGTCTGAGGTGACTTGAAAACCCTGCACCTCCAGTTGACTCAGTTTCCCCTGGAGGAAGCTGCAGTCTGCTCTTCCCATAGAGCTGCTCAGTTATTCTTTACCTCCATGAGAAACGGCCGTTTCAGTGGCAGCTGTTACAAAGCGGCTTTGCAGTACTGGAAGTCAGCTGGAATATGGCAGTGAAGCTGGGGACACAAAGCAAAGCATCTTTAAAACAAGAGAGCGTCTGTGTCCCCCTGTGCCAGCTGCAGGGACATCTGGATGGAGCTGGCTTGGCAGAGACTACAGAGGTCACCAGGGTAATGCATCAAAGGCTCGCTCCATAGCAGAGCACCTCGGGATAGCAGGGAGCCAGAGGGGGGATCCTGAGGCCCCTTTTCCTTTCCTTCTCACCCCTGGATGCTTCTCACCTCTTCACCAAACTTTGTGTTGCTCCAAGACTGGGGACTGCAATGAACCTGTACTGCTGAAGTGGTGCAAGTGAACGTGTCTTAAAAAACCTGAGGGGGTGGAAAACTGAAGTGGGGGCAGAAAGGATCAAAAACTTTTTAAGTCAGTTCTACCACCGAAAAATTTCCGTAAGTGTACCAGGACCTATAGCCCTTTGTCCTTTCCAGACCAGAAAGGCTGTCTGGTTCTTGTATGTGGGGCAACAGCCAACAGCATAAAGCAGAGGAAAGAGGAGAGAGGTGGAATTGCTGCTTTTTCTGAGATAGGCAAATCATATTCTGTGTCCTTGGAAGCCAAATCTTTTCTGCTCTGCTTGTGTAATAGAGATCGTATAGCTTTTTACATAAATACACGGGTTTCCCTCTAGTCCTCTGCCCCCGCATCACCACTCTGCACAGCACTCTGTCCCGCTGCCAGCCTCCACCCCAGGAGCGTGTGCATGTCAGTCCTGCATTCCCCAGAGGGTTGCTGAAGCACTTTGGATTCCTCGGAGATGGAAACCTTTCTACCAGTGCAGGGTAGAGTTACTCTAATTCCTTGCTGTTCGGGATCAAACTGAAGCCTGCTGCTTAATGGGGGATAAGTGGATATAATGCAGTCAGTCAATAACTTCATGCACATGCAGAGAGCCCTTTGGATTACTGATTTCCAAAAGACACAGTCTCCCTCACGAACCCTGCAACACACTGACTCAGCCCTGAGCCTTTTGACTTTTGTTTTTCCTTCCTTACAAAGTGACTTGTACTTTTAATTCTTTTTTTTCCCCCACTTATTCATTTTTTTCTCACTTATTCATTTTTTTCCCCATAAAAGTTTTCAGCCTGTCAAACGACTCTCCCTCTCCCTGTCTCTTTTCTCTTTGCCTTTTGTAGTGGGAGGAAAGATAATAATAAAAGGAGCAGTTTTCAAATAAAAAGCCCCACGTGTTACCTGGGAGCTGTCTCTCAGCATCCAAATACCTGGTGGGGCAGGGATCGCTGAGTCCCTGCTGTTGTTTTGTACCTGCCAGACACTGTTTGTGTTTTGTCATTAAATACTCCTGTCAGGTCTGTCACTTGGTACAAGCAGGACTGCCTGGGCCCTTGTAAAATATAATTTCTGTTTACACCTCTCTGCTCAGCGCTCCCCACTCCTTCGCTCCCTCCTGACAGGGGAAATTGCTGCTTCTGCTGCTGCTGTTCTAATTCCCTGGCTGGAGGAACGGCTTTGGGAGAATTTGTGCTCTCTGCCTCGTCGCTCTCAAATGCTCCTTGTCATGGGCAGCCGTTCAGTCCTGCCTCACGCCTCGGTGGGGAGGCAGAGAGAAGGGTCGAGTGAAGGAGCTGGTGAGGTTGCCTTCCTCTCTCTGCTGATCCTGGGGTCCTGCTCAGCTTCAGCCTGGGCTCATCAAGAGTTTACTGCTCTCCATAATCTCTTGGGACCTCTGGGTTTTGGCAACCATTTTCATGGCCTTATTGAATTGCTCCTAGAGGGAGAAACTTGCAAAAGAAGGAGCCCAAGGACAAGGTGTTCCCCAAAGGCCAAAGGACTGAAATGGCTCCCCTAGGCCCTCCAGACAGGAGATAATGGCTTAACTTATCCCAGCCCTCTCTGTGCCCCCACAGACTCTGAGCTGAAAAGCTCATTTCATTTTAATGGAGAGGCCAAGCAAACAGAGCCCCAGGGTTTAGTCAGGGACCAGTGGGCAGAGCACATGCCTCTTTCTTTCTCTCTCCTCCTTTCAGTCCTGTGGGCAATTCCCCCAAACACGTGGTGTATGCTCAGCTCAGGAGCATCTCCTCAGGAACAAGCTTATTAACTGGGGTAGGAGAGCATTTCTTAGTGTCTCAGATGGGGTTTTTCTTCCTTTTTGCCTCCAGGCTGCCTTGATCACCCCAAAGCACCAAGGAAGCTGAGGAAGGCCGGAGAAGAGGGGAAAAGATGCTGGAAATGTCTTGAAGCATGGAGATTCTCTATTGGAAGGAGAAGCGATTCAGACATGAGCCTAGAAGCTTCCAGGTAAAAAGGGACACTTTTCCTCCCCTCTCTTTCCCAGAGCTCTGTGTTATGGCTACAGCCTGTCCTTTCCATTGTAGTGGCAGCGCGAGTCAGAGGAATTCACAGAGCTCAAGTTGTGTTCCCCGCAACCTCAGCCTTCCTCAAGCTGAGGGTCTGGCTTAGGTCACTGTAAAGGTAGGAATGGAGGTAATGTTTGGAGCCGTAGCAGAAAAGCTCCTTTTCCCACACTGTAGTAGGTTTTATTGACGGTAACAAACCTCTCCCTTGGCTGCTGGGTCCGGGCTCTGGGTCTGGGAATGAAGCATTGGTCATCCTGCTCATCAGTCCATTACAGGAGTTTTGGGAATCCCTGTAAATAGGCCAAGAACATGAGAAATGGAAATTCCTCCCATTCCAGGCCCTGCCTGACACTGCACAGATCCTTTGTTCCTGGCTTCTTTCTTCCTTCCAAGGCCTCAGAGAAGTTCTTCCAACAAAGCACCACCCTGCTCAGCCTCTTCCTCCAATTAGCAATTATCCATCAACTAGCCATCAATAATTCCATCACTTATCCCAGCTCTTGAGCATCTATTAGCTCCTGTCCCCCAGGTCCTGGCAATGCCACTTTAGCACCAACCAGAAAGGAGCACTCCAGAGCTATATATATTTATATGTATAGGGCCTCTTTGTTCTTGCTGACTTTATGGTGCTCCTGGTTTAGCTAGTCCACAGAGAGCTCAGGATCAGCCCATATCATTCTTAATTGCCAGAAGTCCTGTGCTCTGGACCCTGCTGGCGGAAGGAATCAGACCCTTCTGGCATCAGTTCCCGTATTTTTGTTGGAGGGTCTGTGTAAGAATGACTGGAAGGCTTTGAAACAGCCTGTAGCGTTCCGTGACCTGGTCAGGTATGATGGATCCAGGATGGGAAGAGATAAACTGTATGTGCAGTGATGGAGCCTGTTCAATAACAGAAATATTTTCAAAGGAGAAGTGGTCGGAGCTAGTAGACGAAAGGATCGTTTCAGTCCTTGAAGGGGAATCTGGAGAAAGAGAGATCGTTTTAAACTGTAAAATGGTGCCAGTAGGAACACAGTATTGTTACTGCTTTTGATCAGAGCAGTTTGCTGAAAATGGGAGGACTTGCAGGTCATTCCAGGTAGGAGGAAAAAGTGAGAGAGTAGAGTTTCCTTTGATGTGTTCTGGTTCCCTACAAAGAAGGGACTCACTCTTACTCACTGAACACAGCAGGAATCAGAAGCAGGAGACAGGGCCACGCTCACACCTCTCCTCTGCTTTGTCAGTGGTCAGCACAGACATCTCTGACCCTTGTCTCTTCTGGCCCTGCTCTCAGAGCCTTGCCAGGCTGAGCTTGGAATTTCCTTGCTGCTTTTCTCCCCATTCCCTGTTTTTTCCTGTTTCTCTTCCCTGACACACATACGCTCCTTTACTTTTAAAACATCACCTACCAAATCCTCTTTGCCCACTTGTGAGCACATCTGTGTGCTTTGGTTTTGCATTGTTTGAGCTGCAGGCTGCTGCTATTTTATTATATTCTATCAATGCCTGTTTTCCTCATGCTGTAGGTGAACTATAGGGGCAGGAAGAGAGAAGGTAAGTGGATTAGCCAGAACAGCTTTGCATGTCTAGGAGCTCTTAAGCTTTGTAGTGGTCTTGCAAGGGAAATAGTGAAAGGCTGAAAATTGGGGATACCCATACCTAGCCTACGGTGGAGGACAGAGAAGGGTGAAGGATGCAATATTCCCTGTCACCTGCTTTTTGCTCTTGGACCTTCCAGGTTTCAGTTCCTGATACAAGCAGGGCAGTGCCCAGCTGCTGTGAATGGAGCCGTACCTGCTTCCATCAGCCAGGAAGGTGTGTGTATATGATTTGATGCTATATTTTTGGTCCCCAGTTACCACATGAAAACTTCTCCACCCTTTCTCTTTCCACATAGCTGTAGGGGAATGTAGCCAGCTATTTCCTAGTTCCGTATGGGAAATGCACAACAGGGGCCTGAGGAAGAATGTACCCAAATCCTACAAGTAATCTGCAGGCACTGTGGTGCACTGTGATCAGTAATGCAGCTAGGCAGTGCACTGGGCTGTGCTCAGGTAACACAAAGGAAAAGGACTGTGGCTGCAAATTAATTACTGTTAAGAATGCCACCTTCCTGTGGAGCACAGCAATTTCTGTAGAGGCCACACAAGGCTTGGTTTTACAGAGTACCGAGCCTGTAAAATGCCTTCTGGCATCTCTGCACCATCCATGAGCCCATATGTTCCCAGTGGGAGCCACAGAGCCATCAGGCAGTACCGGATGAAAGCAGATTTTGACTCATGGGTCAGAGGCTGTGCAGAGAAGTCTATCGTTCCCAGTCACTTCTTTAATTGACACTGTGAAAGAAGCCACATCTTCCTGCCTGATTTTGACCGGGACTGTAATTGAATTCAACTCAACATCTCCGCTGCAGCCCCCCAGGGGCCCGTCAATTACTGATGGATTTTTTCTCGCCTTGGGAATTTCTCCCTGCTTCCATTCTTTTTATTTAATGGGATCTACTTAGAAAACCGGTAGTAGTAAATCTCCCACCCTCATTTCCTACCTTTCCCAGAGGTGCCTCATGACAAAAAGTGCTTGGACATTAAAATAGAGACAAAATTCAAAGAATGAACTTAAGGGACTGAAAACCTGTGCAGCCTTCCTGTCTTTTGTTCATTTATCCTTTTTTTCACACCTCTGAGATATTTTGTTTGTCCTTGCCAAAACTGCTTGCGCACACTTCAGTCAGGACCTAATGAGACTGTTTTAGGAAATGCGATGCTGAATTGGGTCCTTCTTTTCCCTCAGAGTGCAGTGTCTGTTCAAGCTTTCTCCCTTGGCATCCCTCTCTCCCAGCAACCTATTGCAACTCCTGTGGCTGCAAAGAAATGCCCGTGTGGACTGAGTTTAAAATGAGGGTTGCTGAGGACTTAGGCAGGAAAATGTGTGATACGCTGTAGGGTACAATTTCAGGCTGGCTGCAGGAGGCAGTTACTCCATGGATCTGACCTAGCTCTGATTGCTGCCAAGATGTAGAGGTTTTTCATTGCTCCTTGAAAGGGAGATGTAATTTGCATGTCAAAGCTTGAGAAAGGACAGGGGACAACAGCTCTCCAGCCTCTTTTTTTCTCTTCTTCCACTCTCTCCCCTCCTCCCCAGTTCCCTCAGCCTTTTGTTTTGGTGCTCCTGTGCATTTAATGAGTTACCACAGTTTTAGAGCCTCCAGCCACCATGGGAGAGATCTTGGAGTTTCTGAAGCTGTTGGATCCTGTTGAACATCCTTGTTAAACTTCGCCCCTACTGCTGCATGCGGGGAGCTTCCCACGCAGACCAAAGTTCGGTCCCCAGCCCACCAGTTCTCCTCCACACGCAGTGACGTTCGAATCTCTGCACGCAGGAGGCAGTGAGGGGAGGGTGTTTGGGAGAACATGTCTCTGAAGCAGTGACTGTGTTTGGTGAAAGTGCAGAGGCGCTTGGATTGGGTTTGGAGTTTATTGTCTGCCCTGGCAAGGGCATGGTTTCTTCTGTCCCTGCTTTTAGAGAAAGGCCCTAACCTTGCTCTTTGTCCTTGCCAGCCTCAGCTAGTGCCGGGCAGGAGGAAAAAAAATGGAGGAGGCAATCCCTTCCTGACTTCCTTGGTGGTCCACTTTTCTTGTGTTCATATGTGAGAAGGGATAAAGGGATGCCCAGGTTTTGTAGGAGATCTAGGTCTATTATAGGTGATGCCTGCCCGAAGGGCTAGAAGGCAGAGAGCTTTTTTTCTCCTTCCCTTGACTATGTGATTGTTTTGCAGTCTCCAGGAGTGTTTTCTTTTTTTTTTTCTTTTTTTTTCTTTTTTTTTTCTTCTTTTTTTTTTTTTGTGCCGCACTTTTCTGTGGGGATCTACATTTACCACAGACATCTCCTGGAACAGGAGAGCCAGGAAGATGCTTGTATGTGGCTGGAAAGAGAATAAAAAACCCAGGATGTTGCTACTGAGCCCATCCAGGCTGTCCTTTCACATGATTCCAAAGTTGATTACACCAAGAATTCATGGGACAACATAGCTCTGTGGAGGTATCCCAGATATACCAGCACCTGCCATGGCTAGAGAGAGCAATAACCTATTCTCTGTGTACTGAGACCCCTTTTTAGCTGGCACTAACAGTCCTGGCTGGAGGCTGGGACAGTTGTACCAACATGTCCTTGTGCGTGCCTCTACGAGCTGTGAGGAGAAGGAAATCCTGGATGTTAGGCTGTGCAGAGACATCGATGGGATCATTGGCTAGGGAAATTTAGGCATTTGTTTTCTAGTCACAGCATCTTGCTCTCTTAGACCTGGCAGAGAGCAGGGAAGAATCATCTCCGAGCCTCAGATCAGATCAGTGGGAACGGGACTGCTACTCTGTGCTTGTACAGGGTTGTTCTCATGCCTCGTTTCCTTTGTGGACAGAAAGACGAATTATCAGGAGCCTGTATCTGCCTCCAGCTGAAGGAAAGAAAATGCTCCTGGAGGGGGCGGAAGAGCATGGTGGCGTCTTAGGAGTCCAGGAAAGGTCACGGCTCTGTTGGGCTGAGCACAGGACAGACTGATAACTCCTGTGCGGAGAGCTGTGGTCAGAGTGGTTGGAAGATCCTTGCCACCTCATCTGGAGCAGAGGACTCAGAAATAAACTCATCATCAAGATGATTTGTCAAACTGAGCTGCCAGTGTAAGTGTTAGTAAGTGTGAGCAATAAGGCTGCTCTAGGTTAGGCCCCAGAGGAGGTGTTCCCCTGCCTATGGGTCTGTAAAAACTGTAGCTCCCCTCCTTGCGCTGCCTGCTGTTGCTGTTCATGGGCGAGGAGCATCTGAGCTGGTGCACAGCTTTCCCCCGTCTGCCTTCAGCTGCCTTTGGGCACAGCCAGGCTCTTAGCTCCAACTTGCGGCAGTGCTTTAGTCCTGAGTAGTCCTGGTAGTGTCCCAAGAGCCCTGGAGACTCAAAGGGAGTGTCCAGACCATTAAGCTGCATGGCATGAAGGAAGGGTGGGCAAATACTTCTGAACTGGGGGGCAGTCATGTGAGTGTGGTACACTGATAGGGAAATTGAGTTAAATAATTGATCAGGGGCCTAAAGTGGATCAGTGTCAGACTACAAGTCTCCTAATGAGTGCTTTACTCAGAGTCTCCTACCCTCCTGCGAAGCCAGGATGAACTGATTTCACACAGTGCATTAATTCGACGCTGAATGATTTCCTAGAGGCAGGCAGGTGGGGAGGAAGAAGCCAGGAGCTGGGGAGAAACACTAGAGAGAGCAGTGGTGAGAGATGCAGCTCTTACTGACGGTCATGTGGGATCTGAATTCCCTTGCAATCTCAGGCCTGACCAAGAGCCTGGACACCCCAGCTGTGGGGTATGATTGGACGCAACCACCCCAGCCCTTCCCCAACACCAAAGTGTCCTTGGAGGCACCTTGCCACAAGAGGAAGCAGGGCAGGGCAGCAGAACCAGGTTCCTTCCAGGACAGGGCACCCAGCAGCTCTACTTACCTTTGGGTAATAAGGTTAAATCACTGCCTCATTAGAGCCCTCAAATTAACTCACCACCTTGCAGGATCAATACTATTTTCCATGATGCACTTCTGACACTGAGTCCGGGAGATGGATTGATGCTGAGAGGGTGAAGCGCTGCAGGGGAGCTGCAGTTAGACCTAGCACTGGGCACAGTTTGTTATCAGTTGCCAGGGGAAAAATAGCAGCTGATGGGAGAGGCAGGAGGTGTGATGGAGTGGGGACACGAGGAGACTGTTGTGACACTGTTTCAGGGCGTGGTCTTGCATGCCATGTCTCCTGGCACCTTGTTCCCTCCCGTGGAGTGGTGGAGTAGGTCTGGTTGCCATCAGGTGGCTGTTAGTAATAGCGTGAAGTATGTTTGAAATGGAAGAGTCCTGGGGTGACTGGGCAAGTTCACTGGGATACTGGGGCAGGAAGGGCAGAACGGGCTGGAAAGGGGGGCGGCCATGGAGAACAGAGCTGGAGGGGAGGTAGTGAGACCTGTCTACCTTTCTCAAGGTAGGGAGCCAGTGTGGGCTTCTGATGGGGCTTGGTGCTGGTCCCCAATCCAGACTTGCAGGGCAATAACAGGGAGAAAGGGCAAAAGTTAGTCTCTCTATGGCAAAGAGTGTCTACATTGGGAGTTTGGCCTGGAAACAGCTCTTTTCCTCCTTCGCCACCATTCCCCTTTCCTCAGAGCAAGGTCTGGGAGAGGAGGGACCAAAGAAGGTGGCACTCTGTTGCCCAGGGCTGCCTGATGCTGTGCTGACCCCTCCATGCTGGGCATAGCCTTCCCACCCAGCAGCCACCATGCCGGATGCTCTCTGTCCCCGCTCTTCACAGGAACTGCCACCACGCATGGTCTGGGGTCTGACCAAAGGGACCCTTCAGCTGCCCTTGAGCCCTCTGGAAGGACGTTATCCGTTGTCCCGCAGGTTGCTGTGGCCTCAGGTGGAGACTGTATCCCAGCACGATCCCAGTTAGGAGACCCCAGGGGCTGAGTTTGGGGTGAGTTGCGAGGCTGTAGGGCAGTTTGGGCTCCTGGATGCCAGGTCACCACTCTCTCAACTTTGGCCAGGCCAGGCAAGGCTCATGGCCGGGGGGAATCGCAGCCCCAGGGCCTTTGCGCCTCTGACAGTTCCCAGTATGGGGAGGGGAGGCTTGGGAGTGAATATGTCTGCCCTTTCCAGGGACACAATGTGGACCAGAGACCACCCACCTCGTCCCAGCCGCCCATCCCGCTCTGGATGCCAGGGCTGAGGTCAGTACTGCGTCCCTCACTCTCGCCTCACTCACCTCACCCCTTTCCCACCTCCCTTGCAACTCTGCCCCCAGGACCACTAGCACACGATCCCCTGGTCCCCTGGCACTGGGTGCTTGTTCAGCTGGCTAGGAGGAGCAGGCAGGGTGGCTGGGTGGGTGGTGCAGAGCAGAGGCTGTAACCCGCTTCCTGCTGCTACAGTTAAAGCTAGCCTTTAGCACCAAGCTAGCCTTTGGGGAGAGGGCAGGGGAATGGGACTGCTCGGGGAGGGGAAAGTGGACTGGAGGGTTTAACTCTTCCAGGCCAAGCCTGGCCCTGTTAAACGCCTCTGTGCGTGATCAGAGCCCACTGCAGAGTCAGCACTTCCCAGCCCTTCCCTAGGAGGAGGGAAGGATTCGTAGGAGGAAACCTAGCCCTAAAACTGCTCCTCATGGCCCACCCCACAGACCCAAGCACCTCCTGCCCCGCAAGTGCCCACACCTCTGCCAAACTGTGGGTGGAGGCTGTATTTTCTTTCTAAACCAGAAGTGGCAAAGGTGGAGGAGGGGGTACCAGGATGACGGGTTACTGCCCACTCCAAAGGATGAGGAAGGTGAATCTGAATAAAACATTCAGGCAATGGGAGGAGGGCAAAGCCAATAAAAGTGCCCAAAGCAGCTGTGGCGATCCGGATGAGGTGGCACAGCTATCGGCTGACACTTGTTTTGAGGTCTCTCATCTCTGGCTTGCTTAAAAAAGGGTGTTCTCTCTGCCCCAGGAGCCCTCTTAGTCACTGAAGCAGTTCAGGCACTCTCAAGCAGCTGGCTGGAGATGCTGTTTCGCCTCCCCTTGGGCTGTTCCCCATCACAACCCAGACATCTCTATCTGCCTCCTTTAGCGATGTGGGAGAAAGTCCAGGGAGCAGCACAAGACTCCTTGTGGACAACAGGGGCTGCGGTCGTCTTTGGACTGCAAAGGCCTGATTTAAAGGTGAAAGGAAGGAAGCAACTTGCATGCATTGCTGGCATGCAACCTTGAGCTGGTCCCCACCCCAGGGAGCGCGTCCCCCACTCCGGGGAGCAGGGAGAGGGCACGCGGCTCACATCGGTGCTGCCAGCCTGGCCTCCACTTGCAAAGACACTGCTAGTGCAGTGAGGCTGTCCCCAAGGAGGCAGAGAGCTGAGCTCTTTGTTCGTCCCTGCCCTGCTACGAAGCAAGTGGAAAACACTTCTGTCGAGCGCCAAACGCAGCCAGAAATAACTCAGGCCCCAAACAGCCAAAATGCTTTCAAGGGAGAATTTTAAAGTGCTGGGAATTTGGCCTCTCAGCCTGCGCTTTGTGCTCCGGTGCTGTCGTAATGCCCAGGCGGGGAAAGGCAGACCCTGAATACAGCCCTGCTCTGCATGGCCAGGAACCTGCATCTCAAAAGAGAATGGTTCCCCCCACGGTCACTCCAAGACCCATTCAGCAGTCATCTTTGCCCCAGGCTCCCACACCATTTCTCAGCACTATCATCCCCATCGCTATCACAGCTCCTGCCTTGAAAGGACTTGGGCAGAGCACCAGAGATGGGCAACTTCTCCCCCGTGGCATGTGCTTCAGGGGCTGCGATGTCCCAACATCCTCCCCTGTTTCCCTCAAGAGCCCTTCACTTTGCTGCATTGCTGGCTCAGGACACCCTGAGAAGAGGCTACCTTGCAATGACAGCCCTGCTGATGATGAGGCCAGAATCTGAGTGTCTTTAAAGGGAATGTAATAAGGGCCAATGAACTTGATTGATCCCATTGTCCATGGGAGGGAGGAGGAGTTGGGAGCAGTTAAAAACACGCCTTGCCTGTCTCTGGGAAGGACAGCTGATTCCTGCAACGTCCAGATGGGATTTGAGTCACACCGCGAAGCAAGCGGCTTCCCCACAACGCGTGTCAGAGGCTGTGGGGAGGATAAACATCGGTTCGTTACTCCAGCCCCGCTGTTCGTTCACCCACAAGGACCTCCTGGCCAGCCTTTCCTGGTGTCAGCATCTTCTCGTGGCCCCTGGAGCAAGGGCATTGCATGACAGATGCTCCACGCGGGAGAAGACACCTCGGCACACAGTTACAGCTCTGCCCCACTTCCTGGGGCAGCCACCGAGAGGGAGCTCAAGACTGCTCCATCCCTTTGCTGGAGGATGCAGCCAAGTGCATTGCTAGGCAGCATGGAGGGAGTTCAAGTATCCCCGGGGCTACGACCCGTGGAAGCCTCCCCTGCCCTGGATCCGTCCCTGCACATCCCACACTTTGGCATGCAACAAGGAGCACAAAGATCCAGCTCCCCAAACTGCCCCTCTGGTACTGAGTGACAGAACAAGCCAGGTGGCCTGGGCACATGTAAGAGGTTATTCAAGACGTGCCGACCTTGCAGAACACATCCCTTCGTGAATACAGGATTGACTGTTTTAAGTTTTACAAGGGGCATTTTCTCTTGCCAGGAGCTGGAGAATAGAGGACCCGGGTACCATCTGCCCATGGGACTGGTGAATCATCCTATTTTCCAGTTAACCGCACTTGTTTGCTTTGGGAGATCTCCAAGTTAAGGGGGAAGAAAAAGAAAACCCAACCCATGGATCTTTTCCCACACAATAAGAAAAATGCCTTTTTTTTTTTTCCCACAAAAGCCAGTGTCAACTCTGCTTTTACTTAGCAGTGGGCTGGATAAAAATAGGCAGTGAAGTCATGACGCCTTCAGAAGACAGAACCAGGTATGGCCTGGGGAGGGGGCGAGTGATTTCAGGCCTGGGGGAGAGGGACAAAAAGCCGGCACGATGCGGGCAGGCAGGATTTCTGTCCCCCTGCCACACTGGGAGAAAGAGAGCTGCTTAACCCGGTGCCTTGCTACTTCCCCAGCACGTTGCCGTGGGAGGCAGGAGGCTCTTTGGTGGATGCACCAGAGTTCAAGCTGTCGTTCACGTGATCAGGATGGGGCTGCGTCCCAGCAAGCACCAGGAGATCAGCTCTTTGCAAAGTAGAGATGCTCAGAGCTTGAGGCACACTCAAAGGCCAGGGTAGCAGCAGGGAAGGGACACCACAGAGTTGTGCTCCTGCCTTCTCTAGGGCCACGTTGATGCAGCTGTCTTAGGTTTCTCCCCAGATCTGGCTCTTTCTCCTGTTTTATGCCCCTGCCAGGCCATGGGTGCCCATGGGTGCTCTGTGGCAGTGTGCCTGTGGGGCGCTTGGATGTCTCCAGCTCTGGATGTGCAGCTGGGACCCCCTTTTTCTGCTGGCAGCTGCTCCTGCAGCAAAGCCTCCACTGAGCTTTTAGTGCAGAGCCAGGGTGGGTGGCTGAGCTCTGCCAGGCTCTGGGCTGGGGCAGGAGGAGGGTGACTGCAAGCGGAGACCCTCTGGGGCAGAGCCTCTGCAGTCCATCGTCATTGCAGGAGAAATCAGGGATGTGATGGCAGCTTTAGAACCCCCCGAGGGAATGTGAAAGCCCAGCACACTCCAGGGAAATGGTGTGGTGAATCGCTCCTGCAGAGCTGGCTTGGGTCAGGTGTGTCTCAGCTGAGGGCTGAAGAAGCCAGCAAATTCCCGGTCCCCCCCCTCCGGCCCTCATTGCAATGGGAGCCTGTGGCATCCCCCTGATCACCACACAGCTCTCTGCTCCTGCCCAAAGCCACTGCTGCTGTATCCTTTTTTTTTTTCTCACCTCTGGAACCAAGTAACCAAGTACCAGCTTAGGTCACAAGTGAAATGAGCTTGGCAGGCCTCCGCCTGACCTCCCGCAGATATTTCTTTACATTCTTGGAAACTACATGGTAGCAGTATGCATGGCTGCAGGGAAGGGACGATGTGCCCTGCCAGAATGGGGCTGATTGTAGGTTCACATTTTTAATTTTCAGGGTGTAAGGTAGGATTGTCTTTGCCCTTCTACTTAAATAAATATGAACTTCCAAGGCAAAATAATCCCTGTGGAAACTTTAGCCTCACCCATGAGGAAGGAACCTTCTATCAGCACGAAAATTTTGATGGGGGGAAAAAACATGTCCTTTGCTGCTTAGTCGAGGGCCACAGGGCAGCAAATGCCTCCGTCCGCTCCTGGAAACGGAGCCACGGTTTCGCTGCAGCAGGAGGTCGGAGAGGCGCAGGAGGGGAATATCTGCATTTCTCACCGATCAGTCATTCGGAACTAGCATTATCACTGGAACAATGGGCTCAGCTCGGCCGCGCTTGCCAGAACAGCTCCGCTGCAGCGCTCCCAGATTTATTTTTGTCCGGACTTGGAGCAGGGTGCGGAGATCAGGTGGCGGTGCCCAAGGAGCACTTGGCACCGCGTGGCCTGCCGCCGTGTGTGCATGCATGCATGGGAGTAATGAGCAGGCGGTGATAACTGTGCCTGGCTGGCCACTGGCCGGCCGCATGCGGGGCGGCAGCACTGTGGTTGCTGGGTCCTTTCCTCTCGGCTGAGCCCGCTCTGGCAACCAGCTCTTGGGAAAAGGGATCCTCTTGAACAGTGTGGGGGACACCAATGCTCTCAGGCTAAGCCCACTATCCCTGGCTTCGTGGCTTTGCTTTGTGACAGTCCAGGTGGTCAAAAACAGTGATTTTGCTTTGGCACTGGAATTAGGACCTGGAAACTACTTTCGCATGGCACTGAGTCATGGGTTGAACTCGCTGAGCTCAGAACAGCTGATGATGAAAGATATCTGCTGTTTTTCAGGCACTGATGCCACAATTATTGCCTCTCTTGAAGCCACAGTATCCCTTGAAGGCTGGGTGACAGATCGGCAAAGGCCCCAGCACTGCAAACCTGGCGATTTCCATCACGTCTTGGTTTCAGTCCAGAGCCAGTCTCTTGCAATCATCTTAGTTATAACATTGCCGGGGAGTCTGTGGTCTGGAGGGAGAGGGGTCTGAAACTGTCTGTGGTTGGATCAAGGGCCAGTAATTGCAAGGAAGGGTGAATGTGAAGGAGAGGGGAGGACTGAACAGTGCTGGAGTGGGAAACCAGGGAACAGAAGGGAACACAAGGAAGATGTTTCCTCCAAGTCTTTTTCCACAAATACAGCCCAAGCAAAAGGAACATGCCAAGAACAGCCCATAGCATGAGCTTCATCACGCCTGGGTAGCCGCGGTGGGTTAATGGCGTGGAGCTGGGGGGTAGCCCCGAGCTGGGGCTGCTCAGCCTGGTCTGTGCATGGGGTGGCCCGAGGGCTTGCCCAGACCTCAGAAGAATCCCAAGGGCAACCCCCGGCTTGAAATCCACATGAAACCAGACACCCTTTGGTCTGCAGCTCACGTTCGAAGCTGTCCCTTGGTGCCGAAGGGGTTTTGTCTCTGCGTGGCTGTAGTTAATACCAAGGGTAGTTCTTCAATCCTGAGGTTAAGGTCAGATTAGGATGGGATTAGAGCTGGGAATGTTTTTTTCTGGGGGACATGAGTTCTTCAAAGAGCCAGGGAAGAGGGACGAACCGTTCCCTCAAAGGCCAGATGCTGCAGTGAGCTCTGCCTCCTCCCTTGCCGCCTGCGAGGCCGAGAGTCCCTCCACAGTGGAGGCTAGAGAGGACGGGGCCATCGGAGGGGGCCACGCTGGGCTGCTCAGTGCGCAGCACTGCCAAAGCCTCAGCACCTCCTTTCCCCTGGGGCTGGGATGAAAAGCGGAAAATTCCTTCAGGCGGGAAGCATTTGGGACGACTCATGTTGGCAATGTCAGCTGGGAACTGCCACTGGGTCAGTCAGAAAGACATGTCCTGATGTTTTTTCAAATATTTTTCTTCTTCAAAATGGCAACGGAGTAATAGTTGTTCTCCCCTAACCAGCCTCCCAGCTTTGACTCAAACCACTGACTGGAGCTAGTTTCAAGATGCAGACTCTCCTTGAAGTTGGAAATGTCAGTGTGAGCTATAGAAATAGGGGCTCCCCGCATTTCTGGTGAGAACATTTTCTTCCCAAAGACCTTGTCTCTGTGCCTTAGATCTGTGTTGCAGTGATGCAGGAGATCCTA